AGAACAATTCCTTCCTCAGCCATTTCTTTAAATCCACCTAATATGGTATATTTAGTTTAAATATTATGATTTGATTAGTTGGTAGTCTTTTCCCTCCTCTTAAACTAAAACTAAAAGGTACCATTAGTGCCATGTAAGAGCTCCCCATTTCCACTACCCATGAATCATTGTTTTGTATGTCACGTCATTTAACTGGGTTCCATCGTAAACTCAAACGGAACCCAATCGTAAACCGGGTCTGTGGCTCAATTGGTTGGCCCCAAGCTTTAGGGCTTGGATAAGGCGAAGGTCAGGGCTTCGAGCTCTGTCACCTTCGTGAACTCCACCAACTCGTGACCTAATGGTCGCGCGCCTCAAATGATGGGTGGAACGTTTACTTTCTTGAAAAAATTCCAACTGCTAACAAACTAATTCTACTAATCTCTTAATCATTTATTTGATAAAAAAAAAAACTGAACCGAGTCGTCCCATCAAACTGACAAAACTGGGCCCACAAGCCATATAATAAACCGCGCAACATAAAATCAGTCCCCCAACCCTTGAAACTCTACCACATACAAAGGCATGATCGTATCTTCTCTCACCAAGCCCACTACTCGCTGCTTCATCCTCTGCTGCAAAAATGGCAACTTCCATTAAAGTCTTTTCGCTTTTCACAATCCTCTTTACCTGTGAGATCGACGTCTTCTCCTCCACCACAACGGCCGCGTACTCCATCGGCGTTAACTACGGGACAGTGGCGAACAACCTCCCTCCTCCGTCACAAGTAGCCACCTTCCTTAAAACTAAAACCACCATAGACCGCATCAAACTCTTCGATGCAAATGCCGATATCCTCAAAGCGTTTGCCAACACCGGCATCGCCGTCACCGTTACAGTGGGCAACGGCGATATTCCTTCACTCGCCAAGCTTCCCGCAGCCCAGTCCTGGATCGCCAACAACATCCTGCCTTTTCACCCGCAGACCAAACTCAATTACATCGCCGTTGGAAACGAAATCCTGGCCACGTCGGACAAATTTCTCATCGCCCACCTTTTACCCGCCATGAAAGCTCTTAGATCGGCTCTGGACAGCGCAAATGCTTCCACGATCAAGGTTTCCACGCCGCATTCTCTCGGAATTTTATCGGCCTCGGAGCCGCCGAGTTCCGGTAAATTCCGCAAAGGATACGATAAAGCAATTTTCGCGCCGATTTTGGAGTATCACAGACAAACAAAATCGCCTTTCATGGTGAACCCGTACCCGTATTTTGGTTTCCAGCCTGAAACCCTCAACTACGCCCTGTTCAAGCCAAACGCCGGCGTTTTCGACCCGGTTACGGGTGTAAATTACACCAACATGTTTGATGCGCAGATGGATGCGGTTTACTGGGCAATGAAGAAAGTCGGTTACGAGGACGTGGAGATCGTGGTGGCGGAGACCGGCTGGCCGTCGGCTGGGGACCCGGGTCAACCCGGCGTGAGCTTGGAGAATGCACTGTCATACAACGGAAACCTCGTGAAGCACGTGAACTCAGGTAAAGGGACTCCATTGATGCCCAACAGGACTTTCGAAACGTACATTTTCTCTTTGTTCAACGAGAATCTTAAGCCGTCTGTTTCGGAGCAGAACTTCGGGTTGTTCAGACCCGATCTAACTCCAGTATACGACGTGAGCATTTCACGTGACGGACAGGTAACCCTTTTCTTCTCCGATGTAAATTTACTTAATCATGCAAGGATAGTTTAGTCAGTAACAGTGCATGCACGCTTCTCCATGTTAAGGAGATTTGTCTGGTAGATATTCTTTGAAATTATTCTTAGACTTTGTTGACCATGACCAATACATTGTTGACACGTGGAAGACAGTAGTCTTGTCTTATCTCATTGAATTGCAGTGAGTGTTTGAAAAAGTAGACATTGGAGGTCTGACAGACTCCAGCTTTACGTAAATGGCTAGAAGAATTTGCTTAGCTAGCTATACACTGACGGAACTATTTACTCATTTTTATTTGTTTTAATATGTTGATTTATAATTCAGCATTACATCTCTTGCTAAGTAATAATTGTTACGCAAACTGATAATTGTTTAGAGGGCACTAAAATGCAAAATGAGAGTGAGTCTTGAATATTAAAAACTCGTTTTCATATATTAATTTAAGCTTGTTTTAAAATTT